AAGAACTCGTGGATTAAGCACTTTGTTTTTCAAACCCACATGATTTAAACTCAATATCCTTCTCAAAACAAATTCTGCAGCCTCAGCAAAGTGGGGTCATGTTCTTGACAGTTGCAGCTGTGAATAATATTTGACATGAGGGATGGAGACGGTGACCTAATGTTTTCTTTAAATAAATGGTAGAAAAGCGGACAAGGGTTGGCACAAACCAGACCAGATCCATAGGTACGCATCTGTTCATGGTAACAGTTTTAAGTGATATTGTTTGTTCTCTCAAACTTGCATCACCTGTCTGCCTAATCATAATTTTGCTTACTAAAGGGTGCTTCAGACATTGCGTTTGGTTGTGCTAATCTCCAGTGTGTCCGCTTGAGACCATGCGCGCTACCTTTGTAAGGGGACTAATGTAATCCTTTTACAAAGGACGCATGCCTTTCCTGATGCGACGCAGCGCAGTCAAACGCTGATCTCTGAAGCACTCTTAAGTGTTGATTAAGTAGACATGAGTGTTGGTATGTGTACCTACCACTGCTTGGAACAACCCATGTGCAAGGTGTGTCCGTACATGAGGGTGTTTTGATTGCCACGAACGCATACAGCAAGCCAGCGACGTGCTGGCATGTTTGGCTGAGCCTGGAAAGGAAATGAACTAATTCGAGTATGTGCACATTTATTTATTGATGTAAGTTGCGACTATTTTATTGGCAAAGAAAACAAAGTTGCGGAAAATAAAAAAGGCAATATTTGAAACACCTCACCCTGCTGCACACTGGCAGAATGCGTGACGTATCGTCACCGGATCATTCTGGATGAAAACAAGCTGCTTGTAGTGGCCTGCCTTCATAGAGGGCAGACAGGTGCTTCTTATGTAGCAGCTGCTGTCGTCGTTCCGGAGGAACTGGACGTTCCTCACAAACTTCTCTTCCTTGAAGCTCCACCCTCTGAGCGTTTGTCTAGCTGAAATTGGAGCTTTTTCCCGGAAGAACCTGTCTATATCTCCCTCCGACACCGCGGGAGCTTCCGCTAGGTTGGTTGTTCAACCCTTAGCGTCTAGTAAAGAGGAGCAGGTTGCTGCCATGCTTATCTATGCGCTTCAAAACTGCCGCGCATAACAGACAGCGATACGTCGTCTGCTACGCGCCATGATGATGATGATGATGCGCTTCTGGCCATTTTTTTTTTTAAAATCCGCAAACTTTGTGCTTGCACTTTTCTTTCTTGTTCTTTTTTCGCGGCGTCGAATGCTTATCTCTACTGGAGTTTGCTGAAAGTTGCAAATTCAGAAATACAAACTTCCAAATCGAAAGCTTCAAACATCGCTTGACCGCTTGGCCAGCTTGGCGCTTGGCTGGCTTGGCCATTGGCTGAGCGTTGGCTGAGCGCAACGGTTGCGGGGCCAAGGTCGTCAGCTGGGCGGCTAAGCGGGCACGCGAGTTGGATTTTATTTTCCCGTATTGTTTGGTGCCTACGTTCTTTTTGCGCGCTGATTTTAGACCGTACTGTGCTTCGTACCTGGATACCTCCTGTGCAACGCAGTCAATGCTGCTGGCGCGAGCGCGTGCAAATCAATCGCTGGACAAACCAAACCCACAACCTCCCGTTCACTGTTACTCGCGCCAGTGGATTTAGCAGCGTGCTATGCTTCTTTTCATCACTTTCCGCCAACCGATAGCAACGGCTGAAGATGAGAACACCCGTTGTGGCAAACCTTTCTTCGGGAGCGTGTGTGGCGGTTAAGGGGAATCCTCGCAGCTGGCTGCCCAGGCCATCCCGACCGAACGTTTTGTGGAAGTTTGACGATTTTCCATTAGTGTGCCTTAAAATATACTCCGTTTCACCTTATGTTGTACCGCAGACAAGGCTAGAAGCGCGAGCTCATAGCGTTGGGAGCTGCTCTTAACGCACGAGAGCTTGTGCCGCCGAAATGTGCCCTAAAGCAAGGAGCTCGCGCTTGTAGCCTTTCTTGCGGTACATCATAAGGTGAAACAGAGTATATCCGGGAGCATTGCGTTTATAGAATAGGCGCTTACGCGTGGCTGCGTCACGGGCTGTATTTCCAGTTGGATTCCTAAGCGACTGATACGTTGCAAAGGTTGCAAAGTAATGTCCGGTGAGCTGCAGTCGCACGTGGAGTGTAAACCCCGCAAGAGAGCACGACGGCTTCAGTTGAACAGATGCCCGTGTTTGACGTGGGCTGAGATGAAGTTCCGGTCGCACGTTCACACCGTACGTTTTATTTGTAGAGTCACTACCACGGTTGTTTTGGAAATCATTAGATCCTAATCACATTCCCTGAAGAAATAATCGCTGTGGTGTTTTTGCAATACTTCCTGCGACAAAAAGAAAGATAAGGAGCGGCCAGCTTCTTGCGCCCATGACATGTTTGCTTCTGAACCTTAGCTGTACCCCATGCTAAGGATAAGATATACCTGAAGTGGTCTCTGCACGAGAGCCGAAAGCAAAGTATCGAGAATGCGGTAGCAAAGGAGAACCTTCAGCAATGGAGAAAATACTGGGATACGATGTGAGCAATGTCTCCGAGATATCGAATGGAGACTTAAATAAATCGCAAATTTTTTTTTTTTTATTTGTGAACTATGACACTAATTTACCACACAAGACCAACTGGGTGATGGATTCACCCGATCAAAAGTTACAAATAAAAATAAAAAAACTGTGGGCCTAAGGTCCCTATGGCCTACAACAATGTTTTTTTGGTTTCATTGGAATGCATATGAAGTTTCTTGTTTTGTAACGTTTCACTGAGGTTAGCACTGTTTATATATTCTTACCAATAAAACCATAGCCAAACTTATGTATTAAGTCAGGGTCGTAGCTTACAAATCCAATTTTTTTGCGATTTATTTAGGTCTCGACCCGATATCTGAACCGCTCGGTACTCAGAAGGATAAATTTCTGCCTAAAGTAGGACGTTTTGTTTAATTTCTTTATTTACTTGGATATGTATCCTGATACAACTTTTGACAATGTAATTATTTCTAAATTAAAAGTATTTGAGATTAAACAATACCTATTAAGGTGCAAGATACAGATAAAAAAATGCTTACCACATTCTGCCTTACATTAACAAGGACTGGGTTGCCCCGAGGGAAAAAGACGGAGACAGCAAAGAGATATGAAACTCTAACTGGCCTTCATCAAGCCGATGCTCTCACCCTCGCAGCTCTTCATAAGACTCTCGCCCGCATTGAAATTTTCATTAAATATACTCACCTACTCCAGATTCATGGTAAAAAGCTCAGAGCAAGCAGTGCTGTCTTTCATTCAATAAACATTTTCTGATTCTAAATGATCATTCCTTATCTGGCCCCTATTTCCCTGCTGTTGCAGCCAAGAGAGGCTTGCCGATTCTACACCACTTTTCAGTTGCTTGCTGAGAGTATATTTATTACCCATCGGAAGGAGAGACGTTTCTAAGACTGGGGGATATTCCTGGTTCATTGCCTTTTGATATTGCTGCATCAAAGGCTGGCCATTGCAGCACCAAATCCTGCCTTCCCTGGGTACCATGTGCCAATGTGCGTCCCATGAAGCTAGCAAAGGAGTAACAACTCCTCCTGCCAAGCAATGATTAACAATCTTTGTAGAGCTAGGAGGACAAAGAAATAGTGCAGTAGCGTGCAGGTTTATGGAGGAAATGGGCAGATGTCGTAACATCCGTCACCATCAGGCTGGCAACCTAAGACTGCGTAATGACCATACTAATTCAAAGCCCGACGCGCACGAAGCATCTTCTGCAAGAAGAGAGACCCTTTCCCAATGTCCTTTCCCCCATTCCTTCTTGCGCTTTGGCCTCCTCATCCAAAAGGAGCAGGTCTGGAAGCTAACCTCCACCGCAAGGAGGATGGCTCTCCTTCTTTTTTGGATGGAAAAAGGAAATCAAGAAAAAGTTTCTTCCTCTCGGAGCTCGCGCAGGGGCTCGCGCCGCTGCCAGCTGTGCTCAGCTGGCAGCGGTAGGAACGGCCTTTTATCGTTTATCGGCTCCGGCCAACTGCAGTTTATTTGTTACGAAAGTGTGCGGTACGGTACGAGGAACCAGCCGATACCAACATCGCGCAAGTGGTATGTGAATTTTCGCCTCTTTTGGGACTTCGAAAATTCGAGGCGAGCAAGCGTTGCTAGGCCTTAGGCTTAGCGCACGAGTACGGCCACCGGGGCGATCGCCCCCGGTGTTAGGCCTACCCGACGAGTACGAATAAGATGGCGTCGCCACCGACGATGGAGGTGTGCGAGAGCCCGGCAACCAAAGGCCTGCAGGCAACGATAGTCAGCAACGATGAAGGGAAGATGTACGTTCAAGTAGGAGGCCGCGACGCGACACCCGGCGAGTCGAGCGGATGGACCACGACGAGTAGAAGAATGCGCAAGGCCAAGGAGTTGCAAGGTGAGAGACCATCTTTAACCGCGGAACGGCAGTCGAGGCCCAAGGAGAGAGTTAACTTTGTCAAGCGAGTTACCGAGAATATCAAGAAAGCAGCCCGTATGCCGGCGGCTATCCCCAGAGACGACCATAAGATCGTGATTAGGCCCAGGGGCGGCCTGAACGTAGCTCGAATCGAGACGCCGGTCGTCACGGACGCCATTATGGCGGCCGCGGGGACAGCGAAAGAATACCAGGGCGAAGACATGGTGTGCGTCAATGCGGCGCAGAACATCTTAGTCGTGAGCACGCCGAGCGAGCAGAGAGCCCAAATTTACACTAAGATCAGGACCGTCGAATTCGGCAACATGGAATTTGAGGTTTCCGCCTACCGAACCGCGCCCGAAGGGACGGCGAAGGGAATCATCAGAGGTATCGCAATTGACGACTCGCCCGAAGACATAAATGAGGCGGTCGTGACAAAGTATAACCCAACGGCGCTAGAGGCGCACAGGATTGGAAATTCTACAGCGGTCATCGTCCTCTTTGAAGGACAGAGAGTGCCCCGGTACGTAATATACCGAGCGGCACTGCTCAAGTGCGGGCTTTACAGGAAACATCATGAAGTGTGCAGATGTTGCGGAAAAGTCGGACACCGCATCGACGTATGTCCAACCCCGGAGACCAGAGTATGCTTCGCGTGCGGGGAGGCCAACCCCGACGCGGACCACGAGAAGGCATGCAAGCCAAGTTGCAAGCTATGTGGAGGAGCGCATCCGACGGCAGATAGAATTTGCAAGAACAAGTTCAAGGTCCCCTTCGTCGTCACGAAAAGACAATGGGAGCGCCGAGAGGAACGCGAACAGCAACAGCTCCAGAAGACAAGACCACCAATGACGTCATCGGACTTTCCACAGCTGCCGAGCAGGGAGAAAAACGAGTGCAGCGAAAGCCAACGGCGCACCGGCAGCCGCGAAAGACACAAGAGCCAGCAAAAACACCTGCCGCCGTCGCAGCAGGAAGACGGGAAGCTTAAGTGGTTGGCTGCAGTTAAGGGAAGCAAGTCGAAAGAAACGCCCCGCAGCAAGCAGCAGCCACCATTCCAACACCATAACACCGGAGAACCGCCCGTGACAAGGCGAGAAATATACGACATGATCAGCGAAAACAACGAAAGGCTACTACAGAAGATGGAAGAGAAGATGGACGCAAGGATCGACAAACTACTAGAAGCAATAAGTGCGAGTCAAGCGCCACTGTCACTGCCGACCCCGCAACAGGAGCAAGAGGTGGAGCAGATACCCCGCCCATCCTCGAAGAAGAAAACCCCAGCAAAGCCACCTAAGAGGAAGGAGGAACCAGCCATCGCCGAAGAGGAGGCTACCAAAAGCAGCATCGAAAGCGACGAGGAACAGCCAAAGGAGCCCAGCAACAAAAAGAGGATTATCGAGAATACCAAAGAGAGAAAGCTCATGGCCAGGCTCGACCGCATGGACAAAGAGCGGGAACAAATTGCACATTCGATGAAGGAAAAATTCAACAAGGTAGAGATGACGCTGGGAGAAATACAAAGCGGAATGCTACAACTACAAACGCGGATGCAAACGTTCCTGCAGAGTATGGAAGCCAAGATGCAGACATTCGTGCAGAACGCCCAAACCCAGATCACCACCCAAATACAGCAATTATGAACCCAACAGCGAAATTGAACGCCAAGCCAGACAAAAGGGCAGTAACAGACCAGCAGCCGGTCAGGGACCTCCTGATTTGGCAGTGGAATTGTAACGGCTATCACAATAAGAGGGCAACGCTAACACGGCACCTACAGGGAATGGAGAGGAAACCGGACGTCATTATGATTCAGGAAACACTATGCACTGACACACCCCAACTTCAAGGATACAGAGCACACGCCAAGGCGGCCAAGCCCCTAAACAAAAACAAGAAAAAGTTTGGAATACGCAAACCAACAGGCGGGGTGTGCACATTCGTCCGCAAGGGCATCGTATTCCTCGAGCACGAGCTGACCACCGGCGGCTGGACCGATAGCAGCGCGGTGGAGGTGATCGTTGGGAAGAAGAAGAGGAAAACCAGCGTGCTCGCGGTCAACGTGTACAGCAGCCCCAGACATAGAAAGCAAAAGTTCCGCACGCTCATGCAAAGGGCACTGCGTGCGACGAAGAAAGGCACGATCGTAATAGGGGGTGACTTTAACGCACCACACTACCACTGGGGATACGATAAGACAACCGAAAAGGGGAGAGACCTATTGCAAGACGCCACGGACGCGGGGCTAACGCTAATCACGAACCCGGAGACCCCCACAAGAACGGGTACTTCGGTCGCCAGGGACACCACCCCGGACCTGACGTTCGTCGAAATAAATGGGAACGACACCGCAACGTGGAAAAACACCAAACACGACTTCGGCAGCGACCACATGGTCATAGAGATCCGGGTCCCGCTGGGGAACGGTGCAAGCCAAGAGAAACGAACACACAGATACACGAACTGGGAGGAGTTTCGGCGTCAGCTCCCAAGCCAGCATGGTAACATTGAAGATATAGAAGCGTGGTCGAAGGCGATAGTAGAAACGACCGAGGAGGTGACGACAGAGATAGAAACGGACGAAGACATACACGAAATGGACAGCAGATTGGCCCACCTCATCGAGGCGAAGACTGCCCTCAAGAGAAGGTGGAACCAACAACGAACAAACAGAAGGCTCCGCAAAAAGATCGCGGAAACCAACAGGGAAATAGAGAAACACAGCAAGGAGCTCGGCCGGCAGCAGTGGGAGCAAACGTGCAGAGAGGCGGACGGCCAACTCCATCTGGGCAAGACGTGGCGACTGCTCCGGCACCTCCTCGACGACACCCAGACCAAGGGAGAACAACAGTACAAGCTCAGCAGAATTATACACAAGGCGGTAGCGGAGCACGGGGAAGCGGAGGTGAAGAGGAGACTCGACGCCAAATACCTCCCGGTTTCCCCAAAGGAAAAGCACCCAGAATACCAGGGGGCAGAGAACATCGAGGTTGACCAAGACATCGAGGAATGGGAGGTCCGAAATGCGATGCAAGACCTGAACAGGCGTTCGGCGTCGGGCCCGGACCGCGTCAGCAACAAAGCGCTCAGAAACTTGAACGACGCGGCCGTGACGGCACTGACGGCGTACTTCAATAAATGCTGGAGGGCCGGCAAGCTACAACGCCAGTGGAAGGAAGCCAAAACCATCCTCATTCCGAAACCAGGCAAGTCGCCCGACATCGAGAATCTACGCCCAATATCCTTAACATCGTGCGTGGGTAAACTGCTAGAGCACATCTTAATGACCAGATGGCAACAGTACCTCGAAGAGGCAGAGCTCTACCCGGATTCTCTCGTCGGCTTTCGAAGCAAGCTTGGAACGCAAGACGCCATGCTCCAACTCAAGAAGGAGATAGTAGACTACGAAACTCACACCAGCGACAACAGGGCAATACTGGGCCTGGACCTGCAGAGCGCCTTCGACAAAGTCCGGCACTCTGCGATCCTCGCCCAAGTGTCGCACCTGAACATGGGACAGAGATCTTACAATTACATTCGGGATTTCCTGACCGACCGCACGACTCACATCTGCGCCGGGGATCTCCAACTACCAGAGAAAACGCTCGGCAGCGAGGGGACACCACAAGGCGCGGTAATCTCTCCGCTGCTCTTCAACTTGGTCATGATCGAAGTCGCCAACCGGCTGCGGAGCGTCGATGGGGTACGCCACACGGTTTATGCCGACGATGTGACGCTGTGGGTCACCGGCGGCAGCGACGGCCACATAGAGAATACACTACAAGAAGCAGTAAAAACGATAGAGGACCAACTGAAGGGATCGGGGCTGGTGTGTTCCCCCGCAAAGTCGGAGCTGATGGTGATTCCACCCTGGGGAGCGAGCCGCAAGAAGCAAACTATCCGAGACTGCGATAAAATCCGCATACGAACGCAAGGGGGGCACATCATCCCTGAGGTAGCCAAGATTAGAGTGCTGGGCATGATCATCGAACGCAGCAAAGTCAACGGGGCAACGGTCTCCAAGCTCGAAGCTAAGACCGGCACGGCACTGCGTCTCATACGCCGCGTCGCCAATAGAAGAAGCGGAATGAAGGAAGCAAGGCTCGTCAGACTGATTCAAGCCTTCGTGATGAGCCATATCACCTACGTCGCCGCCTTCCATAATTGGCGGCAGTGCGAGCGGAAGAAGATCAACGCGATGATCCGCAAAGCTTACAAATCAGCATTAGGACTCCTAGGATGCACGAGCACGCAGAAGCTCGAAGCCCTGGGACTCCACAATAGCCTGGAAGAGATCGCCGAGGCACAGCAGACGGCGCAGCTCACCAGACTGTCGGGAACCAGGACCGGCAGATCTATCCTCAAACAACTAGGCATCGGAGCCAAGGAAGACGATCACCGGATGCAGGAGCAGATACCGCGGGAGCTGGGCAAGCACATCGTCGTGAGCCCAATCCCGCGGAACATGACTCCCACATTCCATCAAGAAAGAAGAGAGGCGAGAGCCAAGGCGCTGATCGCGCTACACGCCGGCGATGAGGGAGCCGTGTTCGTGGACGCGGCCAGTTACAAGAACATCGGCGACGCCTTCAGCGTCAGCGTGATCGGAGCCAAAACGGGTGAGATCAGGATGGCGGCCAGCGTGCGGACCACTGTGCCCAGCCAGGCAGAAGAAGTGGCGGTAGCCCTCGCCATCGCGGACCCCAGAACGAAGACGGTGTTGTGCGACTCGCGAACGGCTGTGCGCAACTTTGCGAAACAGCGAGTGTGCAGTGCGGCAGCGCGCATCCTGCGAAAGGCCGAAGTCAACGGAGTCATCACCAGTGCGGTGATAAAGTGGTTTCCCGCCCACGCGGGCGCGGAAGTGGCGGGCTCGCTGGGGCTCACCAACCACAACGAGACGGCCAACTCCGTGGCGCGTGGACTCGCCGGCCGCGCCCCGGTAACGGCCGCCGCCGACGTGGTGGATCGCCCCGAGAAGGACACCATGGACGCTTACAACGAGGTAACCCTGTGGTACCGGTTAGCCAGAAGAACGATGGCCCTGCCCCACCCCCGTCTGACGCGGGAGGAGGCGGTGGTATTCCGCCAGTTACAGACTAACTCCGTGATAACCCCAGTGTTAGCAAAGCACCTGTGGCCGGAGGTATACGTAACAGACTTATGCAGACTGTGCGGGAAGGAAAGGGCCACGTTGGCCCACATCCTGGAAGACTGCGAATGCGCGAACGCGGACAACAGTGCAGACGTTCTCCCGCCCCTCATGGAGGAGGCGAAGAGATCCGAAGACTACGACGTCCAACACACGGCCGTCCAGCAGATCCTAGCGGCACTCGAGAAGCAGCGACCGGACGGGATGGAAGCAGAAAGGGTTAACCCGAGTACGCTGAAGCCCGCCGCGAGCGGCTCTCCCCGCTAAGAAGACGTCCGGCCACGTCGCCCCAAGAACCCACCTGAGAGGGTGGGATGATAGGGGTTACTGCAGGAGACCCATTAAAGTTGCTCTCTCTCTCTCTCTCTCTTCCTCTCTGCTTATTGGTCGGCCTTTAAGGGAATCTCGAGTCGAGGGCGAGATGCAACAAGTGAAGTGTTCCACTATCCAATTGCAAAGAAGGACGGTGCTGTTGCTGTGCATGTTGAGCTTGTGGGATACCAAGACAATAGAATGGGAATGGGGGAAGAGGGGTGTGTGGGTGCTGAGATGCACTGCATCTATGTTTGAAATGTTTAATTTCTAATATTTTCTTCAATGGTAATGGAGTAGCCGGTCATGCCTTCGAGTGGCTAACATCTCCATTTATTTAAATTTTTGAAAATGCAAACATATCAAAATTGACTGCATGTTGAAATATGCACGCTCACTGCTTATCCGGAGGGGGCGCGCAAGGCATGATGGTAATGGCCATCAATGCCACTTAGCCGTGACGTCTAGTTGCAAACTTCTGTCCAGTGCTATCACCTCCTCCTCGTGCTTCTAATTGGCGGCCACTTTTGGTTGTTTCTAATTCCCCACGCAAGCTCCAAAACGTTCTTGCAACGTCCTCTGACGGGGTCGTGTAGAAGGTTTAACAAAGAAGGGACTAGGCCGACCAACAGGTAGAGAGGAGG